TAACGTATATAATACTCAATTTAAATTATTTTAATTAACATATTATATTATTTTAATTTATTATATATTCATATTAATATATTATATTATTAAATATTTATTGTAATTATATATTATAAAATATTGTAACTGACTAAAATGACCAAAGATGTCATTTTTGGTCATTTTACATGTCAAACATGGGTAGCCGTACTGAAATGTGCGATTAGATCACCCCTTTTTCAGGAAGAGCGAATGTTTGTTGGGTATTGTTCCAACGTAAGATAATAACTTTATGAGTTTGATCTTACTTCATTGATTTATTTATCATCTAATTTATCAGTAATAATTATCTGATAAGATAGTTTGTCAAAATATAATGATGTTAAACAATCCATTATGATAGTGAAATTGTACAAGCACTACATAGTGGTGTTAGACCAAACATTAGCATTATCTTAATGGTGTTACCATCTATTTTACAATAAAAAATTTAAGGGGTTTCATTAAAAGACAATCTCTGAATCGTTAAGAGGTAGATCTTATTTGGCGAAAAAAAAGTCTGGCTCTTAATGGTCTTAAAACCCTCTGAATTATTTTGTATCTTGGGCATCCCTTAACCATTAAGAGCCCTAATTTCATTGTAAACAGTTACCAAACAATTATATTTCATTTACATTATATCATGAGAGCCTCTTAACCATTCTGACCACTTAATGATTTTGCACAAAACCATTCAGCAACTGCCAAATAGCCCATAATTTTTTTTAAGTTTGTATTTTTATTATATAATATATTTTATTGTATTTTAATATATATATATATATATATATATATTATTTTGTATTTATTTATTAATATATTAATGTTAAATTTATAAAAAAAATCATATATAATGTTAACTTATAATTTAATAAAATAAAAATATTATATCAATATTAATTAATGATAAAACTATTTTTTTATTTTTATAATCAAATCTTATTTAATAAATTAATCATACATTTTTCACAAACATATTTTACAAAACATTAAAAAGCATGAGCAAGATCTTATAGAAAAATTATATCCTACAATTAGAGGTTTCAGAAAGTTATTCAGTACAATTAGAATCGACCGATCATAATCGGATATTCAATTGTAATTGGATCGAATCAGATCCAAAATTTTAACATCCAAATCGGATCGATCGGTTCTTGGATGACAGTTCAGCATCCAATAGAGTTTTGAAAAGTGCTCTCTATAGTCTAAAGGGTATTGGCCAAACGTATATACCTGATGGGGGCAACGTCGATGGGGGCAACACCGATGGAGGCAATGGTGCCGATGGGGGCGGTGCAAGACTCACCGTAGCGTTAAAGAAGGGGTAATCTTGATACCTAATATTGCAACTAAGATATAGGACTCTTGCCCCACGTCTTCCATCGCAACAGCTTCGTGTACGATTGATTGCATTACTCAAGCAATTATAACACGTGGTTGCCGAAATATCCGGTGAACATTGCATGAGCCCATAAATCTTGGTCGACCTCGGGCCATCTGTGACGTTGGAAGCGTATTTACGGAGAGACCCGCCACTTGAAGCGTCGTCTCGTAGTTGTGCCCACAACCGATCAAGCGCTTGTTTAAATTGGTCGATGTCGGTCGCGTTTTCATGGTCTTCTGCGTCCCATCCGTCCTCACTATCCCATCCATCGATAATGTTTGAACTGCCCAGAAGGATCTGATTGGAGTACCTTATCATGCACGTGTCGTAAATTATATTTCCTCGCTTTTGGTTAGGGCAAAACTCTCGTAGTCTTGCACCGTAGTCGTTTATGCACCTCTGACATTCGTCTCGTTCGATATCACCTCTACATAGTGCGAGCACGTAGACTTTATCAGGGGTTTCACCAACGGAGCGATTGTAGAAGCCGTATGTATTGTTGGGATCGGAGGTGATCACGGATGAAAAAGCTTCATCACGATTTATTTCGTATGCACTGTTTCTAGTGAAATTGACGTTTGCAATGCAATCTGCACGAAATTCTCCGGAGACCGAAAAAGCGAAAAAAATCGTCATAATAATGACTACGAGCAACATGGTGTTGCAAAAATGAAATAGGATTGAGGTTGGTTTCATTTTGATATGTAATGTTATATATATTATATATATATATATATATATATATATGCTGTGTGTGCGTCTCTCTTCATTGAACCTTACTTGGTCGATTTTCAAACATGTAACAAAACCATTTTGAATTACTAGAAGAGTACTCGTGTAATGCATCGAGACACATTTTCATTTCAATGTTTCGTTTTATTTTTTATTCATGTTGATATATTACAATTTTATATGGTTTTGAGAAAACGATAATGTTTTTATTTTTGAATAAAATATAAATTTGAAAAAAATATATCAATATTAGTATCAAATTATCTAATTAAAAGTTTTTGTTTGTTTATTTTTTTTAATTCAATTTTTTATTATAATTTAATTTAACTTAATAAAGTAACTTAATTTTGGTTTAATAATATTTTTTTTATAAAGACAATAATTAAGTATTCTGTTAGAACTCAATAATTATTCTAATTATATTTTAGATTTTTTATATTTTAAAATGAAAGGTTTATCCTCTATTTGATTATGTTTATCCGCAATTATTTACACGAATTCAAACACAGAGCTTTAATAAGTTGTATTTATGCATAATTTACTTGTAATCTTGAATTTTAAGTAATATGCATTAATAAACAGTACTTTATGCATTAATTTTTTTAAGAATTTTAGTCAAATATTTTATAATATAATATAGATAATTGGTTACTCAAAGTTGGTGTTATAAATTAAAAATACGTGTGTTTCTCACTTTAATTATAAATAATTATTTTATCAAATATTCACATATGTTATACACTAGTTCAAATAATTAGAAGATTTTTCCCTACACCCTACATACATACAAACATATATACATATAAAAAAAAAAAAAAAAACACACACACACACACACATATATATATATATATATATATATATATATATATATGCCTAATCAAATTAAAACTATTTTGTTTATTATAACCGTGAGATCCAATTTCAACAACAAATCAAATGTTAAATAAAAGAAATTAATAATTTTAACTTAAAATATTAATTAATGGCATTTTAGGGATTTTTTAAATATCATCTCTCATCTCTCCTCTTTCATCTCTCCAACAAATCTTATTCGTCGAACCTTATTCCGATAAACCTTATGTGAACACAAGATACACACTGTGATACCTACAAATAATATTCACTGTGATACCCAGATATACATATAAGATGCACAATGTGATACCCTTTGTAAAGAAATAAAAATGACGAAAATACATACTATGATACATTTCATAAAACAAAGAAAATAGATTGTGATACACTTGAAACATTGTGAACGTTATCACTATGATACACTTCGATTACAAACGTTTTTAAAATATTATGTATATTAGGTAATTGATATACTAGGTAAGTAATTTTAATTAAATATTTCCTTCTAAAAAATTTAATTAAATATTTTGATTAGTTGTTAAAAATAGAATTACTATATTACCCTTTTAACTTGTTTAAGAAATATCCTTAAATATCTAAAACGAATGGTTCATATTAAATCTCACAATTACCACAAACTAATCAATTCTCCCGTAAATAGACCCATCCATATGTATATGTATATGTATATGTATATGTATATGTATGTGTATATGTATGTGTATATGTATATGTATATGTATATGTATATGTAAGGGTCAATTCAAAGGAGATTTGGTTAATTTATGATAACTGAGAGATCCAATCCTAATAACAAATCAATGGATAAATTAGTAAAATATTATTTTTGGTAATTTGAGTTAAAATTTTAATTACAGGGCATTTCAGGTATTCTAAATTTTTTATTTCTCCTCTGTCTCTCTCTACTACTTTTAGTCTCCGGTAAACCTTATTCCAGCGAACACCATGTGATACCCAAAATACACAATGCGAACACCATATGTTTATGTGTGTGTGTGAAGTCGCTATCATCAACGGCTTTTGCAAGGAAATTTCTTTTTGCGGAATTGATGATTACAATTGGAAATTTCATGTTTGAAAAACTGTAGAAAATGAAGAATAATAATTCATCCCAAAAAACCTTTGACTTTTACCATTGAAGTTAATACGTGAAAGGGAATTTTTGGACTTCGTGGGGAGGCATTAAGTGCCAAACACTTACCCGATAAGTGTTTAACAGTAAAATTTAACACTATTATTTACTTGACGGGTAAGATTTTAGTCCACCAAAACGACATCGTATGCAACAATTTACCCGGTAAGCGCTTACCGGTAAGAGTCGTCGCTCTCGCTTACCGGGTAAGACTCTTGGTCCTTGTCTCGCTCTTATCATATTTATCCGGTGAGGTAATGTTACTTGGTAAGCGCTTACCCGGGTAAGCGTTTGGTAAACGGCCCCTAAATTATCACAGGTTTGGCTCAAGTCAGGAGCACCAACGGTGGTGGATCCAAGATTTTTGTTGAGTTGTTATACTTTTAAAATGGATTTAAAATAAAGATCGCAAATCAGGGTTTGACCATGTGTTTTTAGCAAGACGTAAAGGTACGTCTTAAATGTAAGTCTGGTGTGTTTTTAGTCGAATTTCAGTGTTTCAAGAGTTTTTCGGGTTTTTTTAGTTGATGTCCATTGAACTTTTTCGGTTTTTACAATGTCAAGTTATGTTTCTATTAAATAGATTGATAACAGTATCAGCTAAAAACATATTTAAGGAAAATCTACAATTTACAAAATTTAGGAGAAACAAATTAATAACGATAATTAAATGAATAACTAAACCTAGATTACAAATTATAAAATACAAACAAAACAAATCATATTTAGGGCAAACCGGAATGTATAAAATTTAGGGCAAAGTGGACTGGTGATAGAATATGGTCGGACAACGAGTCTGAACGCACAAGCAGAGGGGTGGTTTTACGATCTCAGACGTTGTTTGAGTGTTGCGTTTTTGGAGATAGTGATAACGAATAAAGAATCTCGTGAAGATGTTTTGTTTTATAAAAAGGGTTTGATTTGGTCTCTTAAAATCACAGGTATTAAGAGCGCCTTTTGGATTTTCAAATATTACGAAGCATCCCTCAAAGTTGAAGAGGTGTACCTTTCAACCCTTATTTTTTTTTCTCTTTTGGTTAGTCGGTTGAGTAGGCGTGTGGGAACCCCTCTCTCCATCATAAATCCGAACCAGACCACCACGAGTATCAATTGTTACATTTTACAATATCATGTCAATAGTAGGTTTTCGTTCTTTAGGAACTATTTGATAGTTGCTGAATGAATTGATACAGAATGATTAAGTAATCAGAATGATTAAGATGCTTTCATGATATAGTGCAAAATGAAATGTAATTGTTTGATAATTGTTTACAATGAAATTAGGGTGTCACACGATACAAAATCATTCAAAAGGTTTTAGAACCATTAAGAGGCAGATTTTTTTTTTGTCAAACAAGATTCACCTCTAAACAATTCAGAGGTTGCCTCTAAATGGAACTATTAAGAGGTAAACAAACAACCCCTTAGTAATACATTACAAAATACATTTTCTGCAATGAGATTTACTCGATTTCGACATTATAAATATGATTTTTGAGTGACCAACAATTTCCATACCTAGTTTTGGATTCATTTAGCACCCCACATAAATCTACAAAGATTTAGATCTCAATGAATTATTTTTAGTCGAGAACGTTCGTTTAATTTCACTACAAAAATAATTACTTCTGCTGGAGTAAAACATCGTCGACAATAGCTCAAAATCTTCTGCCGACCGGAGGTTTCCATGAAAAGGTCTTCCCGATAATTCTTTTTGGTGGTAAACAACAGATCCACAAGTAAGATGTCTTTGCCAGTGATGGATAGTCGTTAATAAAAACTAAAGTCATGGGCAAAAACTTCTTTCAAGATCAGATATCCAAAAGTTGTCGTGATAAATATTGATGATAAATTATTCAATCTATAAAAAAAAAAAAAAAATTGTGACATGATGACACTACAACAAAATTGGGTTTATAAAACACCCTCAATCTCTAAGCATTCTAATAGACCGTTTTATAGAACTTAAGTTATAGGATCAAAATATAAAACATCTTATCTAAAGGTGTTGTAATAAGTTTATATGACGCTTTTGGGCATCTTAACGAGTTTTTAGGACATTTTTAATACAAAGTGTCACATTAGCAACTTTACAGGACACTTTTGAGAAAGTGTCCTATAAACTCAATTTTTTATAGGACAATTTTTCAAATAGTGTTCTATACAGTTGTTAATGTGACACTTTATATTAAAAGTATCTAAAAAACTTATTACGACGTCAAAAAAGGTCATATAAACTTATTACAATACCTTTAGATAAGACGCTTTATTTTTTTGGTCCTATAAACTAAGTCTTATAAAGAGGTCTATTAGCACGCTTAGAAATTGTGAGTGTCTTATAAACCCGATTTTGTTGTAGCGTGTTGACCAAGACATGGCTTATCGAGGACAAGATTTGGTGATAGTGGTATGCATTCGAGCTGTAATTTACTTGGCCATCCTTCTAAATCCGACTCTAAGATCAACCATATTCTTATTCAATAGTCAAATACTATCACAATACAAAATATAACTTCAAGAAAACTGTACGGCAATATCATGTTATTGATTATTCGAAATACAGGTATCCCATAGAAACTTCATTTGCTATATCGATCGTTGTGAAGATGTTATAGATCGTTGTGAAGATGCTACAAATTGTTGTGAAGATCTGAATTTACTTTTTAAAGAGTAAGGATCACTTTTACTCGAGCTGTACTCTTCGAAAAAGTATTTCTCGTAATTCATGAATGTACGCATGAAAAAAGCAGGTTGTGAAGGGACCTTCAGGGTTATAGAGAGGCTATTAAGCATGAGAACGACTGAAGCCATTGTTGGTCTCTCTGTAACGTCTTCTTGAACACATAATAGACCTATGTGGATGCATCTGATCGTATCACATAAGGAATTAGAACCATCATTTAGTGTTGGATCAATTAAACTTGTAGCCGTTCCATCTCTCCAGCATTTCCATACCTAAAACCAAATTGGGAAAAGAGAAATTGATGTGAAATGAAAAATGTATGTTATAGAAAATAAAGACATACAAGAAGTTATATGTCAACACTTACATGGCTAATAAGATCTTCCGTCATCATTCCGTTTTGAAGTCTGTGGTTTTTATGACCCGTTACAATTTCGAGTACCAGAACACCAAAACTGAAGACGTCCGACTTAATTGAAAATTTTCCATGCGTTAGATACTCTGGTGCCATGTATCCACTAGTACGACAATAATACATGTTAATTACGTGGTGCAAGAATGAAAATCGTAATCTAGATTACCATTTTTGTAGCGACATATTTTACATCTAGTGCTACGAAAGCAACATCTAATTACGTCTTTTGAATAGCGAGACTTACTAGGTTCCGACAATTCGATTAGTGTTGCCTTGGGTTTCTTCAGGTTTGAACAATCTTGCCATACCAAAATCTGCAATTTTAGCATTCATATCGGCATCCAATAAAATATTACTGGCTTTCATATCTCGATGAATTATTTTTAGTCGTGAATCCTCGTGTAGATACAAAAGTCCCCTTGCAACACCTTGTATTATTTTGTATCGTGTTTCCCAATCTAGAATTACTCGCTTCACTGGATCTATATTTTTAAGATCAAGGGTATACGTAAGAATGAATTTCTACTGCTTTATCGTATTTTTTTTCCAAAATATAGTTTCGACAATAGTAAACTTACCAAATATAAACTGGTCGAGACTTGCATTTTGTACAAACTCATACATCAAAAGCCGTTCGGACCCTTCTAGGCTAAACCCTAGGAGACGAACCAAATTCCGATGTTGGAGCCTTGCAAGTAACAAGACCTCGTTCTTGAATTCCAGTTCGCCTTGTCCCGAATCCTTTGACAGCCTCTTCACTGCTATCTCTTGTCCATTTCGTAACTTACCCTGTGGATTTTCTTTTAGAAATGGTTTTCGGGTGTAAATATTCCGTTGCAAACGAATAATCTTGTTGTAGCGTGTTGTTTACCTTATAAACCAAACCAAATCCACCTTCTCCAAGCTTATTGTTCTCCGAGAAGTCATCGGTGGCTGCTCTAATATCACCAAAGCTACGTTGCAACGATTCGGCTGTAATAATTTCATCAAGATCCGCGTCTTCGTGAACTGGTATCATTCACGCAAAATATTAGTGGATCGGAAACCCTAATTTGTAGTGAATAAGTATGAAAGAAATGAAACAAACCAACCCACCCAAATTCTCTGGTTGCAACTTCCTTTTTCTTCTTATGAAGACACAAAAGAAGACCACCACCAATAACAGAACACTAACGGTTGCAACGACGACAACGACTATAATCGTCGTGCTATTACGCTTGCCTGAAAATCACATCCGAGAAAATGCACATTAGTGAAATTGTACTAGCACTATTATAGTTATGTTACCGCTCTTCTGTCGTTTCAAACTCCGATTTTCTCAAAAAAACCCAAAACAAAACTAGAATTTCGAAAAGTGCAAACGTATATACCTGATGGTGCCAGCGGTGACGATGGCGGCAATGGCGCCGATGGTGGTTGCTCAAGAATCATCGTAGCGTTAAAGAAGCGGTAATCTTCATACCTGATATTGCAACTAGGATATACAACTCTTGCTCCACGTTTACCATCACAACAAATCTGTATACGGTTGATTGCATCACTCAAGCAAATATCACACTCAGTTAGAGACAAATCTGGTGTACATTGCATGAGCCCAAAAATCTTGCTCGACCTCGGGCCATCTACCTCGTTGGAAGCATATTTACGGAGAGACCCACCGCTCGAAGCTTCACTTCTTAGTTGTTCCCACAACTGATCGAGCCTTTGATTGAATTGGACCATGTTYGATGCGTTTTGAGGGTGTGCCAAGTCCCATCCTTCCCAGCTGTTTCTATTGCCAAGAATGGTCTCATCAGAATATCTTAGCATACATCTCTCGTATGTGAAAATCGCACCCTTTTGGTTAGGGCATAACGCTCTTAGCGTTGAACTACAATTACGTATGCACCTGTGGCACTCGTCTTGTTCAACRTCACCTCTACATAGKGCGATCACRTTGACTTGATTGGGTGTGTTACCAACAGACCGGTTGTAGAAGCCGTATGTGTTGTTGGGATCATGGGTGATCACGGATGACAATGCTTCGTCAAGATTTGTTTGGTATACACTGTTTATAGTGAAATTTGCGTTTTCGTTGCAACTAGAGAACGGTATCTCTCCACTCCTTTGAGATACCGAAAACGCAGATAAATTCGTAATAACGGTTACGAATAAAATCGATTTGGTAATTACCATCAACATGGTATTGCAAAAGATGAAAATAGAATGGAGGTTATGGGTCATGTTGATTAGCAATGGTGATAGTAATTATATATAAAGTAAATTACGGTTTTAGTCCCTATTATTTTTAATAATTTTTATTTTCGTCATTGTGATTTCCGTTCCTATGGTTTGTTAGACTAATTCGTACTTTTAAAGTACAACGGCCCAAAATAGATAAATAATTATAAATCACGTGAATGAAACAACGATAAATTATAAATTATTATGATGAAAATAGCAATGAATAACAAATTATAGGAAAAAAACCATAATTTCTAAATAATAAAAACAAAAATCGTAATTTTTAAAAACCATAAGGACTAAAAACGTAATTTACTCTCATATATACTTCTTGAAAGTGATTGACACTTTGAGTTGTTTAGGTCAAAGTTTACTTGGTCAATTATTGAAATTTTAATATAACTTTTTTTATTTGAAACCCTTAGGTTGATACAACAAACGTTTTTTTTTTTTAATCTATTTAAAGCGGTAACCGATTAACCTTATCTATATCTATATTACTTTATAAATCAGATTTATCAAAAGTCTTAAATTTTTTTAATGCACAAAATATTATACATTTATGCATAAAATCTTAAAAATCATTAAAATATATACTATATTATAAAGCATTTGACAAAAACTCTTAAACCCACTTTTCATGCGTAAAGTACTATTTATTAATGCGTATTACTTAAAACTCAAGATTGCAAGTAGATTGTGCGTATAAATATAACTGCAGATAAATATAATCAAATACAAGATAAATATCTTATTTTAAATATAAAAAATCTAAAATATAATTAGAATAATCATTGAGTTCTAACAGAATACTTAATTATTATCTTTATAAATTGTTATATTATTAAACAAAAAATAAATTATTTCGTTATTAAACTTAAATTAAATTATAATAAAAAATGAAAACTTTTAAATTGTTGATTTGATATTAACATTGATATATTTTTTTTCAAACTTTTTTGATATCTTCAAATTTATAGTTTATTCAAAAATAAAATAATTATTGTTTTCTTAAAAACACATAAAATCGTATTATAACATCGACAGAGACAAATAATAAAACAGAACAATAAAATCGAGATGTGTCTCGCTGCATTGCGCGAGTACTCTTCTAGTAACTCATAACGCATTAAGTACTACTACTTTATGTATATAGTCTTAAAATCTCTTAATCTACAATTAAAATAACATATTGTAATGCATATTATTACCTTTTCTTTTCATGTTTCCAATAATCTTTTGACACCTTTCACTAATGCCTTCACACTCTCAAACCTCTATGTCTTCTCCTCATCCCCCAATGTGAGATTCAAATTAATATTCATCATGAGTTATTAAAAGTTCTTTAATTCAATTTCTCTCGAACTCTTGGTCTCGCTCTCGATCTCTTGATTCTTTGCTCTTAGTGTAAATCGAACACATTTATGAAGTTCTTTAAATATGTTGGATTTAAACTGTTATACAATTTTTTTCATCGATAGACTGTAATTGAAACCATAACTCTTATTTATTTATATTGTATTAATATGTAAAGACCAACTGTAACTTATATCATCATTAAATCTTCTCTAATAAAATCAATGGAACTTCAACCTCGTTAAAATTCACGGCTCTCGCCGCATTGCGCGGGTACACAACTAGTAAATATTAATAACACGGATATTAATTTTTTATACTATATTATAATTTCTTTTATTATATTGAAAATTGTCAAATTGATTTTATCTAGGCTGGAAATTCATTTATCATGCAAAATTAAAAGGAATAAATCATATAATTAAACGTTTATTACACAAATTAAGATGAAAAATTTATCATTAAATTAAAAAAAAAACATAAAACCAACACTTTATTATATTTTAATTCATTTTACATTCTAATAGTTAGTCAAAGTCGGTGTTTTGAATTTAAAAATATGACCATTTACTCATGTTAATAGTTAAATAATCGTTATTTTAGATGCTCATACGTATTGTACTATAGTTTCATTTAGTTGCACTCTTATTTTCGGGTTTATGACAAAAGTATTCTCAATGAAAACCGAAATCTGAAACTTCTCGTTTGTGAATTATGGGACTACACGTGTTAAAGAGTCAACACATACGTATCATGGTATCTTTACATATTTATATAATAATATTTATATTATTATAATAAGATTAAGGTTAAGATTTCATCACACGCATTTTTGGTTTCATCGGAGCATATTTGGGTTGACTAATCAAGCATAACAGGTTTCATCGAACTTGCTCCATCTTCATCTTCATCGTCAATTTGTAAGGGGTTGAGGTTCAATGTTCCGACTAGGGGGGGGGGGGGGGGGAAGGAGGGGTGAGGGTGTGGTAATGATAGGAATCCAAGTCGTTATAAAATACAACTACAAGGGTGATGTCTAATTGGTTTGAGTTTGACTTCAAAGGTCAAAAGTACCAAGAGGTCCGAAGTTCAAATCCAAGAAGAAATAAAAATCTTCTACGGAGGTTCAAATACGGTGACTCTGGACAATCTGCAAAGCAGGTGGTCGTCCTGAGATTAGTCAACTCGCATAACGGGTTGAATATCCAGGTTAATATATATATATATATATATATATATATATATATATATATATATATTGATTGATTGAGAAATGACTTGCATAGGCCCAATTTTACTTGGTCAATTTCAAAATTTCTTCATTTGATTCGACTCAAAGTGCGTTTAGGACACGCCCAACTAATTGTTTTACCAATTAAAAAAAATTAATTTAAGTTATTTTCTATTTTTTTTTAATAAAAACCAGATAGAAATCACATGTATTAAATTTTGACGTCGAATTCATATCAGTCATTTAAATTAATACACGTATTTAAAAAGAAAATGTAAAATGGGAATTAAATAAATTTAAAGCAAATAAAAATCTGAAACGTTTTAAATGCAATGGTTGAACATAAATGATATGGCGTATGACATAAAATCGGTCATTAGGGCTCTTTCGTGGCCAAAATATGGGTGGTTATTTTCCATCAGTAAAGATCCATCAATTTGAACGAGTGGTCAAATATGAAAATGGTGACTAATTAATGACAAGACTATAATCGACATTGTGTTTATGTTGATTAAATTGGTCAGTAAAAAATCGTCAAAGGATTCAAGACAAGGAGAACAAGAATTCAAGAACGATGTACTGTTACTTGCAAGGGTCTAGCATCGGAATTTGGTTCGCCTCCTAGGGTTTAGCCTGGAAGGGTCCGAACAGCTTTTGATGTATGAGTTTTTACAAAATTCAAGTCTAGACCAATTTATATCCGGTAAATTTACTATTTTTGAAATTATACTACAGAAAAAATACACTAAATATTATTCTAATAATATTCTTACGTATACCTTGTTCTTGAAAATATAGATCCACGGCATCGAGCAACTCTAGATTGCGAAACACGATACAAAATAATACAAGGTGTTGCAAGGGGACTTTTGTATCTAACTGAGGATTCACGACTAAAAATAATTCATCGAGATATGAAAGCTAGTAATGTTTTCTTGGATGTTGGTATGAATGTTAAAATTGCAGATTTTGGTATGACAAGTTCGTTCACACCTGAAGAAACCCAAACCATTCAGCATCGTAATTTCATTGTAAATAATTACTAAACAATTATATTTCATTTTGCACTATATCACGAAAGCTTCTTAATAATTCTAACCACTTAATCATTCTGCACCAAACCATTCAGCAACTGCCAAACAGCCCATGAGTCCAGATCTTCATAACGTTCTATAGCATCTTAACAACGATCTATAGCATCTTCATTGCAATCTGTAGCACATGGTGTTTCTCTGAACGACTTATATCCCCAACAATCAACATTTCTTTTCTGTTTTATGATCTTGCGGTACAAGTTTGTAAAACCGTATTTATACTCTGATATATAGTTTCTGAGTATTGAATGATACGATGTTTGAATCTTAGACTTGGTCTTACAAGGACGACCATGTAATTCAGCTCTCCAGACCTCCGGGAAAAGCGTGATAAGATGTTAGAATCTTAGACTTGGACCTTCAAGAACGACCAAAGTAGATAACAACTCGAATGCATACGACTTTCACTAAATTTTGTTCGTTATAAGCCATGTCTCGATCATCATCATGTCAACATTTGACTTTTATATGTGATTCTATTAATTATATGTTGAGTAATTTATTTATCGTATTAATTGCCCATAAATTGATCAATAAAATCTCTTAAAGTTTAGGAAGGAGTTCATAACTACTTTTGGATATCTGATATTTGAAAGAAGCTTTTTTACTTTGGACTTCAGTTTTTATCGACAACTGTCGCCGTTGGCAAAAGAAGTTGTAGTGACACAAAGCTTTCTTGCGATGGAAATATCCGTCGGTAAAGCTTTTGAGTTTTTGCCGGCAATATCTTTCTCCAGCAAAGAGAGTTAATATTAAGAAAAGCCTTGAATTTAACCATTGAAACATGTGAAAGGGGATTTTTGGACTTGTATGTATGCTATATATACATATAGGAGCGATCAAATAAAAACCGCATCTATTTGTGTAAACCGTGTAAACCAATCTCACCCATCCATTTTCTTGATCAATGGTTAAGATTAATCAAGGTTATTTAAGGAAATTAAAAATTAAAAAAATTGAAAATACATTTTATAATACTAATAAGGGTAAAAGGATAAAACTAAATATTCATTTATTTAAGAAAACCATATCATGTATATCATATTATTAATGAAACTAATCTATTTTTTATAAAGTAATTTATTATTTTTACGCTAACATTTATTATTATTAATGAAACTAATTTATTTTTCATCTTGCAATTATTTCATGACGAACCGCCTACATTATGCACTCGTTTCATTTTTCATTTCATCTACTGAATGGATCACCTACACCATCATTGAAACGGGTTTCACCATGAAAGCAGTTCATCACTCATTGTTCAATTGCGCCACGAACCAGTTTCACCTTCATAAAACCTGTTTCATGTAAATTAATTTTTTTATTTCACTCATTATTTGATGCATTCTTTCTTTTACTCCTTACAATTTTCAAGATTCCGGAGCATATTACAATCTTCAAGATCCCGAAGCAGATTCATCATGTACCCGTTTCATCATGCAATTATTTCATGATGAACCAAATAAATTATGCACCCGTTTCATGTTCCACTTTTTCTACTAAACGGATCAACTACACCATCACTGAAACGTGATTCACCATGAAACAATTTCATATTACTCATGAATCAATTACAACATGAACCAGTTTCATTTTCATGAAACCTGTATCATTAACATTATTTTTTTTAATTTGAACCATAATTTACAATTAAATTCCATAATGCAATTCAATCTTCAAGACCTGTTTGCAAATTCAATCTCATAACAATATATCAAATTCAAATTTTTAATATTATAATATGATTAAATATTTAAATGTTATCATTTATACAATTTCTTTTATTACGTTTTCTTAATTAAGATTTATTAATAACTTCCATATTTAATAGAAAATATTGTAAATGACCGAAATACCATTATTGATTAAATTTAATTAGAAAAAAATGAAATTTTCTTATTGGTCGAAATTGGTTTACACGGTTTCTTATAAATACACGATTTTCATTTGAACGTGCCCCTATATATATATATATATTAGCAAAGGTTTATTTGAGAAGTGTTACGTATTTGAGAAGTAAACAAGTAATACTAGCATGTGGTCAACATCTATGGCTTTGATTGTGAAGCATCGGATGATTCATTGCATGGGTATATATGCAAAAGACAAAAAAGTATTTTCATAACTTTTACAAATAGACAACACACGACTTCATGTGTGAACCCGTGTGATTCACATATAAACCCAGAGGTTCATATGTAAATCAGTTAATTAGTTCATATGTAAATCACACAGATTCATATGTGAATCAGTTAATTAGTTCATATGTGAATCACACAGGTTCATATATGAATCAGTTAAAATAGTTCATATATGAATACACAGGTTCACATATGAATATATAGTTTGGATGTGAATCACACGTGTTCATATATAAACCTGTTTACCGCCTATTTATAAAAGTTACGAAACTACCTCGTCTATGTTTTGCATAACCGCAAATTTTGACCAGTCAAGGCCGTAATACTTGACTAGTCGAATCCGATCTTTACTGTATAAGGACTATGATCAATTCTTTACTTCTCAAAGATAACATTTTATAAGGACTATGATCAATAAGGACTATGATCAATTCTTTACTTGACTAGTCGAATCTGATCTTTGGTTTAATAATATAACATTTTATAAAGATAATAATAAAGTATTCTATTAGAACTCAATGATTATCCTAATTATATTTTAGATTTTTTATATTTAAAATAAAATGTTTATCTGCAATTAGTTATACGAATTCAGATATAGAGCTTTAATAAGTTGTACTTACGCACAATCTACTAGTAATCTTGACTTTTAAGTAATATGCATTAATAAACAGTACTTTACGCATAAAAAGTAGTTTTCAAGAGTTTTTGTCAAATGCTTTATAATATATATATATATATATATATATATATATTTATAATTTAATTTAAGTTTAATAATGAAATAATTTATTTTTGGTTTAATAATATAACATTTCATAAAGATAATAATTAAGTATTTTNTGTTATAACTCAATGATTATCTTAATTATATTTTAGATTTTTTATATTTAAAATAAGATATTTATCATGTATTTGATTGTGTTTATCTGCAGTTGCAGTTAGTTACACGAATTCAAATATGGAGCTTTAATAAGTTGTACCTACGCACAATTTACTTGTAATCTTCAGTTTTAAGTAATATGCATTAATAAAAAGTGGTTTTTAAAAGTTTTTGTCAAATGATTTATAATATAGAATATAATTTTTTATATAATTTAATTTAAGTTTAATAATAAAACAATTTATTTTTTGTTTAATATTATAAATTTTATGAAAATAATAATTAAGTATTCTGTTAAAATTTAATGATTATACTAATTATATTTTAAATTTTCATATTTAAAATGAGATGATTATCCTGTATTTGATTGTGTTTATTTGCAGTTAGTTACACGAATTCATATATGGGATGAAATCGGATAGGTATGAACGGGTTTAAGAGTTTTTAAGAGTTTTAAGAGTTTTTAAGAGTTTTAGCCAAATGCTTTATAAGATAGTATAGATATATTAAATGGGGAAACGATCAAATGCAAATCATCCATATTTGTACAAACCATGCAAACCACCATCATCCATCGATTTCATTATTTAATTTAATGAATCTGTTTCATGAAATTGTTTAATCTTATGAAATTGTTTCATATAATTTTTTTTTTGATGAAGCTGTTTCATATATGATTGTTTTTATGTTTTAATGAAATTGTTTCATGTATTTCTCTAAAACTAATATAATGAAGCTTATAATATCCATAACTAACACAATTTATAATAAAAATGATACCTCTCACAATTACAAAAAAATGAAAAATTGTGATTGGTTGAATGAAGTTTGCACGATTTATACAAATAATGTGATTTGCAAAATAAACATCCCCTATATTAAATAGATTATCAAAAATCAAAATTTAAAAAAATTACATTCAACTTCAACTGTTATTCTATTTTGACAATTTAACTTTAATTATATTATTAAAATATTTTATAAATTAATCATTCAATATATACTTTGAAAGAATTTTACAGAAAAATTATAACACATTCAATGGGTTGATACAACTAAAATAATATACATCTTTACTCATTATTATATTCTATAGATTTTTCCAAACTTAGAAATTTATATTATTTTTTTCTTATCTCTATTTTATCACACTTTAGTACCGTTGTTGGAGTAAAAAAAGAATTCTAAGGGGTTGTCTGGTAGTTGCAGAATAATTTGGTGCAGAATGATTAAGAGGCTTTCATGATATAATGCAAATGAAATATAACTTGTTGATAATTGTTTATAATGAAATTAGGGCACTGAATGGTTAAAGGAGGCCCATGATACAAAATCATTCAGAGGGTTTTAGAACCATTATGAGACAGATTTTTTTTTACCAAACATGATTCGCCTCTTAACGATATCCAGAGTCTGCCTCTTAATAGAACTATTAGAGGTAAACAAACAACCTCTTAAAATTCTAAAACTCTATTTTTTTTATTAACCTGGATATCCAACCCGCTATGGAGCCGACTAATCCCAGGGCGACCACCTATAGCCCGGAGTCACCGTAATTGAACCCCGGAGCCCGAACCCAGAGTGTAAAACACATAAACCGCAGGAACCAATAACGTAATTTACTCTTAAGTATATTATTAAAACATTTTATAAATTAATCATCCAATATATACTCAATGTTCATTATTTAGATACAATCAGAATATAATATATAGTTTCAAAAAAATTGTTGCAATATCATAATACAAAAAACAAATATCGATTACCGGTGATATACGTCCTTCTTAGAAACATCATCTGTTATTGATCGTTCTGAAGATGCTATAGAACGTTGTGAAGATCTGGATTTAGTTGTTAACGATCTAGAATCATTTGTACTTGAAGTGTACTCTTCGTAAAAGTGTTTGTCAGAATTTATGAATGTACGCATGAAAAAAGCAGGTTCTGAAGGGACCGTGAGCGTTAGAGAGACGCTGCTAAGCATGAGAACAACTGAAGCCATAGTTGGTCTCGCTGTAACGTCTTCTTGAACACATAATAGACCTATGTGAATGCATCTGATCATATCACGTAAGGAATTAGAACCATCATTCAGTGTAGGATCAATTAAACTTGTGCTCGTTCCATTTCTCCAGCTTTTCCATGCCTAAAACAATCAAATTTCAGAAAGAAGAAATTGATTAAAAAAATGAAAAATATATGTTGTAGAAAAAGAAAAGACATATAAGAAGCTAAACTCAACACTTACATGGCTAAGAAGATCTTCCATCATCGATTCGTTTTGAAAACTATGGTTTTTACGACCCGCTACAATTTCGAGTACCAATACACCAAAACTGAAGACATCCGACTTAACTGAAAATTGTCCATGCATTACATACTCCGGTGCCATGTATCCACTGGTATGATTAGAGTACAGGTTAATTAATTAGTGCAAGAATAAAAGTCCATTATTATTATTTCCCACTAACACAAATTATTCATTTAGTGATGGCAAGAAAATTAAAGGCGGAATGAATATCGTAATCTAGACTACCGTCTTTTTGCGTCAGATTATACATCAAACACTAATTAATCAAAATTTAATGACGTCTTTTGGATAGTGAGACTTACTAGGTTCCAACAATGCGACTGGTATTGCCTTGGGTTTCTTCAGATGTGAACAACCTTGCCATACCAAAATCTGCAATTTTAGCGTTCATATCGGCATCCAGTAAAACATTACTAGCTTTCATATCTCGATGAATTATTTTTAGTCGTGAATCCTCGTGTAGATACAAAAGTCCCCTTGCAACACCTTGTATTATTTTGTATCGTGTTTCCCAATCTAGAGTTGCTCGCTTCACTGGATCTATATATTTAAGATCAAGTATATACGCAAGAATATGATTAGAACAATGAATTTCTACCCATTTATCGTATTTTCTTCTAAAGTATGATTTCGGAAATAATCTACTTACCGAATATAAACTGGTCCAGACTTGCATTTTGTACAAACTCATACATCAAAAGCCGTTCGGACCCTTCTAGGCTAAACCCTAGGAGGCGGACCAAATTCCGATGTTGGAGCCTCGCAAGTAACAATACCTCGTTCTTGAATTCTAGTTCGCCTTGTCCCGAATTCTTTGACAACCTCTTCACTGCTATTTCTTGTCCATTTCGTAACTTACCCTGTGGATTTTTTATTCCAGAACAATTTAATGATACTTCTAATGCTGAAAACCATTTTCAGTAGTATATATTCCATTGCAGAAGAATAATTTCTTGTAGTGTGTTGTTTACCTTATAAACCAAACCGAATCCACCTTGTCCAAGCTTATTGTTCTCCGAGAAGTCATCTGTGGCTGCTCTAATATCACCAAAGCTACGTTGCAACGATTCGGCTGTAATAATTTCGTCAAGATCCATGTCTTCGTCAACTGGCATCATTCTCACGAAATATTAGTGGATTGAAAACCCTAACTCGTAGTAAGAAAGTATGAACGAAAAGAAACAAACAAACCCACCCAAATTCTCTGATTGCAATTCTTCCAACTTCCTTTTTCTTCTTATGAAGACACAAAAGAAGACGAACGCCAGTATCAGAAGACCAACAGTTCCAACGACAGCAACGACTATAATAGTTGTGTTATTACGCTTGCCTGAAAACCCCATCAGAAAAAAAAACAACATTATTGAAATTGTACTAACGCTCACCATCCACTATACAATACAAATTCTAACATGATTTTTGAAGGGTTACGTTACCTTTAGAAATTATCAAAAAATTACCCTTCCGTTATAATGATTTTCAACCAATTTTATACGTGACATCTTATAATAAAAAACTATATTTAAATTAAATAACTATATTATTATTTTTTTGTTATATTATTTCCGGCCAGAGATTGATTTTTGGCTGCTTTTACTCACAACGACCTAGGGACGTTTCAATCTTTTTGGAGGTTCTGCTACATCCAAAACTTTTGATTACATTACATAAATAAGATAACAGAGAATATATGTTAAGAATAAAAATGGGCTAAACCTAAAACGATTAACAATCTGAAACTAAACCTAAACCACTAATTATTTGAATCTAAAACCAAATAAGTAATGGTTTGAATCTAAATAATGTCGGCTATAGTTTTACACAAATCAATAAAAAGACCCTAAACACATGTAAATTTGGTCCCCAAAATTTCAGGACCCCTGTTCAAAATCTCATATTTAACATGCTAAGAAGTGGCTCTGGAACCACCATAATTTCTTATTAAGAAATCGTACGAAATCCCTTGAAAATTGCTAGAAAATTACGAGTCTTGCTGGTTTTCTGTCGTTTCAAACTCCAATTTTCTAAAAAATCCAGAAAAACTACTAGAACTATGTGAAGCATAGTGTTTAATCTAATTAAAGGATATTGGCCAAACGTATATACCTGATGGAGGCAACGCCGATGGGGGCAACGGCGACGATGATGGCGGTGCAAGGCTCACTGTAGCATTAAAGAAGGGGTAATCTTGATACCTAATATTGCAACTAAGATATAGGACTCTTGCCCCACGTTTTCCATCACAACAACTTCGTGTACGATTGATTGCATTCGTCAAGCAATTATAACACCTGGTTGCCGAGATATCCGGTGTACATTGCATAAGCCCGTAAATCTTGGTCGACCTCGGGCCATCGGTGACGTTTGAAGCGTATTTACGGAGAGACCCGCCACTTGAAGCCTCGTCTCTTAGTTGTACCCACAATCGATCAAGCGCTTGAGTAAATTGGTCGACGTCCGTCGCGTTTTCACTGTCTTCCGGATTCCATGCACTCTCACCACTATCCCATCCATCTATAATGTTCGAACTGCCCAGAAGGATCTGATCGGAGTACCTTATCATACACGTATCGTAAATTATATTTCCTTGCTTTTTGTTAGGGCAAAACTCTCGTAGTCTTGCACCGTAGTCGTTTATGCACCTCTGACAATCTTCTCGTTCGATGTCACCTCTACATAGTGCGATCACGTTGACTTGATCAGGGGCTTCACCAACAGACCGATTGTAGAAGCCGTACGTGTTGTTGGGATCGGAGGTGATCACGGATGAAAAAGCTTCATCACGATTTATCTCGTATGCACTGTTTCTAGTGAAATTGAAGTCTGCACCGCAATCGGCACGAAATTCTCCCGAGACCGAAACCGCGAAAAAAATCGTGATAATAACGATTAAGAATGAAATAGACTTTGAGGTTTCGATCAACATGGTGTTGCAAAAATAGAACATGAAGGTTTGGTCTCATTAGTTATATAAATAAAAAATAGCAAAAATGTTTGGAGGTCTCAGGTTCGAATCTAAGAATAAATAAAAATCCCTTGTAGCCATGGAGATTCAGATGCGGTGAATTCACGACTGGTTACCCTGAGATTAGTCAGCTCGCATAGCGGGTTGGATATTCAGGTTAATAAAAAAAAGTTACATATATACGAAAAGGTAACACATGTGAGGTAAAGTTACAAAGTTTAATATCTAATACATTAAAATTTAAAAAAACTAATAAATAATTAAATAAGATGGTATTATGGTATATGACTTTTAATATCGTCTACCAACTAAATTTGTATATTTGATTTGATACGATACTAACAATCAGTTATAATTAATACCAGTTAAGTTGATATCAGTTTAATTGTTACGGTTAATAAAGATATTGATTGATTTGGTTTGATACCAATAAAATTGCGACACGTAAAACTAAAATAAAGACAAACGTAATTGGTTATATTTTGACCCATTTTGGATTTTAGTTGGTTAGTCAAAGTTGGTGTTCTGAATTTGAAGATACGACTTTCACATTTTTAATTGTGAATAATCATTTTGTCAAATATTCACATATGTTAATGCACTTGTTCTAATAAAACTTGCAAGTATTTAAGAGGGGATAAAAATCTACTTATAGTTATAGAGGTTTAAATGTAGTGACTTCAGACTATCTATAAAGTAGGTGGTAGTTTTAAGATTAGTCGACTCGTATAACGAGTTGGATATTCAAATTAAAAAAAAATGTTTCTCATTTATGGATGAAAGGGACTATACGTGTCAAATTGTCAATGTGTAAAAACATTTAATATAAAAATATTTATATATGTATATAAAAGACCAGAGTTTTTATAAGGACCCATTTAGTCGAGATGTATGCAAACTAGCCCGAACACTCACAGTTAATAAAAAAAATCAGCAGTTATAATAGTTAAGTGATATACAACGTGAAACAATAAATATACTCCCGTAATTGATAATTTGCATATATTGGCAACCTTTGGTTGTTACGGAAATTTTGAGATGCACCATGATTATTATCCGTCGGGAAACCCAGTCCACCCACCCCGATCGTGGACGGGGATTCCCCGTTAAACCGAGTCTTGGGAACGGTGATCCCCACTTGGCTCAAACCAGGAATGGAGACGGGGATGGGTATTGCATTCCCCGCCCCATTACGATACCTGATGATTATTATCAAGTGGGCGATGGTCGTCCACGTATCAACAACATATACAACAAGGGATATTAGCCAAAAAGTCTGATAAATTTATGTTTGTTCCAATTGACCATTTCTTGTTCACATGTCACTTTCTTTTTGCCTCTTTCATTATCTCATTAATGTGTGGTGCAACCATAAATTCATTAAAAAAAAAGTTGGTTCTTTCTTTCTATAATCCAAGCCTCTTGCCTTTTAGGAGGTCAGAGATTCAAACCTCACCAATGTTGAGGAGGGTGTATGAGTTTATTTGTTGCATTTGTTGTATATAAAATATGTTATATATACTTCAAAAAAAATCATAACATCAGAAAAATGAAATATTATTTATAATACTCAGTAGTTATCACCTCATACTTCCTGGTTATTTCTTTAATTTAAAGATATATAAATTTAAGGGGGTTTTTTACTCGTTCAGTATACTCACGTTTTTATTTTAAAACTATCATCTTTTATCGATGTGTGATATATCAAAACGAACACGGAACACCACAATTCAACATTTGAGAACGTAGTATTTGGTTGTCATATCATCTCCATCTCTGTTTTATTATTGTTGTTCCAATGTACCGTTCTCATTTTCCCAGTCTATTATCTTTTTTTGTTGAATATTAATATAGGACTTGATCATCTGAGAACTCCAAAATTTATGAGATCTATGAGATTTTCTACCTTAAGGTTTTGTTTCACATGTTTTCTTTCTGTCTACGTATAATATATAGTGTATTGGTTACATATATTTGTTTCATAATATGTTTGTTTCATATATATTAGGTTTACGAAGTGAAACTTTGTACGTGTATTTTTTGTTTTGCAAGCACGCCAGAAAAGTTCACATTGTGAACCGTTTACGTGTGAAACAAAAAAAAATTATGAAACAAATATATATTAATCACTGCATTAAATTATAGTCATATGTATGTGTTGGTCCGTCTCTAATTAGCGACGGATTTGGCTATTTTTCTTATTTTCTCATTTGTATATGTTATATGTACATGTATGTATCTGTATGTGTTATATGTATATTTGTGTATGTGTTATATGTATTCGTCGGTTTGTATTATACGTATGTATACATGTGTATGTATGTGTTTACGATTGGATATATGTATAGATAATTATATTGTGTGTTTGTGTTGTTTGGTATCCATATACAAATAGGTAATGAGTCACCATTGATGTTATTGAGTCTTATTAAGTCATAAAGAATCTTATTCGGAGCAGAGTGTCGCAGGACGGAAGAAGGGTCGTCGTTTTGGTTTCGGGACCTTGCAAGATCCTTCTTATGCTATGACCGATTAATGTACAGTAGCGACAGGAGATTATACAATATTGGATTACCAGCGAAGGTATGTTGGTTATATTGTTATGTATTTTGTCATTACTTTTCATTGCAAACAAATTATTGATTTTTGTCAAATATTGTATATTTACACGTAGCAAAGTTGAGAGAGAAGTTGGCAAAGGTAGAGGAGGAGCCTCAACACAATCAGACTGAGCTCGTGGCCGAACGAAAGAGTAGGGCAGATTAGGGGTGAGCAGCGGAACCGGGTACCTGGCTATGGAACCAGAACCGCCTTGGAACCGCCGGTTCCAGAACCGGAACCGATATGAGTGGTTCCGGTTTCGGTTCCTAAAATACGGAACCGATTGAGAATGGTTCCGGTTCCGGTTCTTAATTTTTTGGAACCGTTACCCGCCGGGTACCCGGTATTTTTCAATAAAAAAATAATTATTATTTTTTAATACCAAATTTATATTAGGCTTACATTTTGAAAGCACGCCGTCATCTTTATTCTTCATCTAAATTCTTCATATAGAATGATTCGTATTTTTTCAAATTGTGTGTTCACTTGGATTCATAGTATGTAATCGTTTAACTTTGAACCTTTACCATTATACTATGTAATCGTTAAACTTTGAACATTTTCTATTAGTTTATTATGGTTTGTAATCATTAAACAATATTTGTAACCATTATTCTGTATAATTTGTATTATTGCTTATTTATTTAGTGTTTTGACTATGTTTTATTTTTTATTTCTAAATAACAAAATTTTAATATTTTAGAAAGCGGGTACCGGGAACCGGAACCGGTTCTTGGCGGTTCCGGTTCCAAAAATTTAAGAACCCCTCTAACCAGTTCCGGTTCCAATATCTCAAAGAATAGGCACACAGCCGTAAGAGTGATTAAAGATATTGTTTCATCACGACGTCTAGAAAACGTTTCTGTTCAAGAGGATCTCTTCACTAAGAAAAGGGTCAAATTTTTATTTTGGTACAAAATATGCCATTGTTTAAATGCATTTTTCTTAGTACGTCATTGTTAGAGAAAGTTATGTTCTGCTTAAACTTATGTGTGTGTATACAGGGTTGGATTCACGTGAGACAATGTTGTTTTTGTACATTTGAAGCTTTATAATAAAATGTTGTGAAGATAAAAAAAGGTGAATCTCCAACCTTTACAGTGTTTTGCTGTAAATTTTCAAATGTAAAAATCGTGTCTCATGAAATCAAGTCTCTCTCTCTCTCTATATATAATTATTTATAAATGAAAATTTGAAAAAAAGATAAAAACAATAAGGTATTGTTTTTTTTTAGAAAAAAAAAGCTCTTATCAGTCTTTTACGTCTGATTCGTTAAGAGATATGGTCATTCAAATTGTTTGTTTTTTTGTTCAGTTTTTAGAGGCATTTATATCTTATTGTACTCTTATCTGATAAGAGGTAAACCAACTCTTATTTGCCTCTTTATTCTCCAGACTCCCAACAACCCTCAGCGACGACGTTTCTCAATCAAGTAAACTTAATCTATCATTTCTTTCAGTCAATCCTTACTAAATTGATCATCACCTCTGTCAATTAATGTATTTTAATAGAATTTAAATATTTTAGATACCATCAATTGCATATTTTTGTTTAAATGAATGCTAATTAAATAATTTAGATATAAATTTCATAACAATGATGAATAAATATGTGAAATTGTATAAATTTATCTATAAATCCAACATTGTACTTTTCTAATGGGTAAAATAGACAAACTAAATAAATTCAGACATTTATTAGTTTACAAAAACAAACAATTTTTCTGATTCAGATTTCATACTTCAGCACCACCTCTTATTAATCATAAGTGAAATAAGACTTCAAATTTCAGCACCTCTTAAAAAACAAACGACACCTAAAAGACTCTTATTAAAACAAAATTGTTAATAAGACAATCACAATCACCAAAATTTTCGGGAAAAAAAATCAAAATCCATTACTTTTGTTGGTTGATACCAACAATTTATATAGGTCAATCTTAAATATTGTCATCATTTGGTTTGAGTCAATGTGGAAATTGCATTTAGTGCACGTCTAAGTTGGGGTGCTCAAAAACCCGACCAACTCGGTCTAATCTAACACGAAATAATTCAACTTGAAGTAATTCGATGTCTAAACGAGTTGTAAATTTTTTAAACTGTAGGTGTTGGTTTGAAATTAGGTTACTATTATCTGAATCCAACCCGATAAACCCGATATCTTTGTGTTTTTTTGGATTTAATGTGATTATTGAGTTTCTATTAATATATACATTAGACAATTAGACTATCACATACTCTCTTTATATACACATATTTTCAATCTATTCTCCATCTCTATGTAACTCTTTCGTATATATGTTCAGTAACCGTGAACATATATATGTAAATTAATTGAATGTGATATACGTAAGATTTAAG